ACACACACACACACACACACACACACACACACACACACACACACACAAACACAAACACCAGCTACCAGCCTGGCAGCTAATGTCTGTAATCCCAATAGTCAGGAAACTGGGACAGGAGCATTAGACATTAAACTGAGTTTCTGAGTTTAAGGCCAAGCTGGGCAGCCTGGGCTACCTACGGTGTGTAAATTCCTGTGTTAAAAAGAGGAAGAAAGGAAGAAGGGAGGGAAGGAAGGAGAGAACGGAGGCTGCAGAAGAACATACACTGAGCTTGGTGACCCTCAGGGTCCTGGCTCAGGGTGAAGCCTCCAGGGCGGAGGCTGTTGATGGAGTCTGGCCTGGGAGACGATGCCATCGAGAGGAAGGTTTGGTTTGTCATAAGGGAGCCACGGCGCCACTTCACTCACAGCCTTGACCCTCAGAGTAACAGAGAAGCAGCCAATTTTATAAGCCCAGGAACTGCAAACCACCCACCCGGCTGTAAAACGGGTTTAATTGGCCCATTGCCTCCTCAGAGGGTGGGGTGCCCTTAAACCTGGTGTGGGTGACAAGACTCTCAGTGCTGGTGGCTCAAGTGTGTGATTTCTGACACAGAAAATATAGGTGCCAGGGCACGGCACAGTGGGAAAAAATCCGTACCTAGCATGCTGGTGAGGCCCTAGGTTCAACTCACAGATCCAGGCATGGTAGCACACACCTGGAACCCCAGATCTCAGGTGGTGAAGGCCTGGGGACCAGTTCAAAGTTATTCTCCGCTATGTACTGAGTTTGAGCCAGCCTGGGAAACATGAAACCCTGTCTGATGAAGAAGAGAAAGGGCTGTCTGGGTAGCCCGGTGGTCAGAGCTGTTCGTCCTGCAAGCATGAGGCCTGGAGTCTGGATGCCTCCAGAAACCATGTCAGTGCTGGGTAGGCATGAAACCACCTGTAATTCCAGCCTTAGGAGGAAGAGGGGATCCCGAAACAAGCTGGCTAGCCAGACAAGCCGTACCGGTGAGCTCTGGGTTTGGCTGAGAGAGCCTGTCTCAGTGAATACAATGGAAGATGGAGCCATCCTGATGTCCACCCCAGGCTTCCACATGCTCAAGCACGTGAGCTCACGGGCACCCACATGTAAGCTTCCACTCACATACATATGTACATACATACACAACACAGACCACCAAAAAAGAGAAAGTACAGGTAGGGTGTCCAGGTGTCCCCGAGCAGTCCCTGCCTTGCCATCCACTGAGGTCTCTACTCCCGGCCCTGCAGCTGTCTGTCTGCCTCTGCCTAGCCCTGGTACCCGCCACTCCTCCCCCAGAGATCTCCAATCAAATCTCTGCTCAAGTCCTTGACACTAGGACCCCCTAGGATGTCACGATGACATCCTTCCTTACCCCGGTCTGCTGGCCACACGCTCCTGTGTCTCCAGCGCTACTCCCAGCACCCCCCCCCCACGTTCCCGGGTTCCCATCCCGGAGGCTTCGGGAGCTCCGCATCCCCACACAGGGCTCTGAGCAACCACCCTCTTCCTGCCGCCCTCTCCCCCCTCAAGCCAGCCTCCTGGGGGCAGCCAGGGAGGGTCCATCAATCGGATTTTGGTATCTCCCTGCTTAAACCCCTCTTCTGGATCCCAACTGTCACCTCCCAGCCTCAGCCCACAGGGCCCTCCACACGCTGATAACCTACACGCTGACCAGCCCTTCCGGCCTCCTTGCTGTTGGGGAGCACTAAGACTGGACCTGCCGCGGGGCCTCTGCACCTCTACCCGAGCCTTTCCCCCAGAGGAGTGTGTGTGAGGGTGGCTTCCTCCTTTCCTTCGAAGCCTGGCTCCAAGGTGACGTGTTCACACAAGCTTGTCACAGACCGCCAACCCGAAGCGGCTGCCAGCACTCACATCCGCCCCAGACATAGTTACCGTCTACACAGCTCACTGCTCTTGGAAATCTCCGGCTTTTATCTGTCTGCCCGGCCGGCTGAACTCCCGTAGATCCCAGTCTCCAGCTCTGTCAGTGCTGACACACAGCACTTATGTAATAATTAGCTGGCCATAGGCCAGAGACACCCCACCCAACCCACCTGGCCACCCTGCCCAGGTACTCACATCTGCCATGGCGGTCTGGCGGACACTTCCAGCCGAAAACTGGATGTGCTCGTGGGCTTCTGCGGCTGGGCCTCTGGCCCCAGATGCCATCTCCAGCATCAGAGGCACACACAGGAAGCCAGGTGCCCCTCGCAGATCCAGCCATCTGCCTGCCATTGGCCCCCGGGGCCTGACCAGAGCCCTCTGCTCAGCTCACTTCAGTTGTGAAGGGCTGACCACTCCAGTGCCTGCAGGGTGGGGTTAGGAGGGGACATTATCACCGCAGGCCTCAGGAGGAGGAGCCCAAGTCCCTCTCTGCCCATATCAAGGCCCCATACCCAAGTCCCATTCCCTCAGCCCTCCTGGGCCTGCATCACCTGCTTCTTGCTCTGGAGCCCAGGTGTCCTTTCTTCCCCTTCCCCTCCCCACCCTGGGTGTCTCCTTGAGACCAGCCCCTCACCAGGACCTCAGGCCTGCAAGAGGCTTAGGGAGCCAGCCAGCCAGCTGAATGAGATCAGTATGAGGAGTATGCAGTCCCAAGAACAAGGAACTCAGACTTCTGGTTTGTTTTTTCCCCCGGGTTTTTGGGGGTGGGGCACTGGATGGACCTGAGCACTCTCCCACTGGGCCATAATCTCCTGCCTTGGTGACTTTTCAGTTTAGTTTTTTATTTTCGTTTGTTTGTTTGTTTGTTTGTTTGTTTGAGACAGGATAGCCTGGGATTCACTCAGTAGCCCAGGCTGCCCTTGAGCAGGTGACAATCTTCTTGATTCTGTATTGGAAGTGCTGGGATTACAGATTTGAACTGCAGTCCGCTTCTAGTCCTCTCCCTACTTTCTATTTTGAGGCAGGATCTCCTGAGTTTGCCGGGCTGACCTTGAACTCATATATCTTTTGCCTCCGCCTCCTCAGTAGCTGAGATTTCAGATCTGCACCAGCCACTGGGTCCTAGCCTGAGAGTACAGACTTCTGAGGCGGATTGGCTGTGAGCACCAGGCCAAGACCCAGAGAGGTCAGTGCATACCGCTGTATCCTTCCATGGCTTGCAATGCGCCCAGCACACTACACCGGGGAGCTCATTTGATCCCTGCATGAGGAAACTGAGGCACAGTGAGGTGAGGCGAGGTGACATCACTCCCATTCCTCATTGTCATCTGCAGTGACACACCACATTGACCTCAAAGATAAAAGTTCACCAGGCCACGTGGAGTCATGTGGCAAGGAAGAGAGCTGCAAAACCAACAGCTCTTGGATGGGGAAATTGAGGCCCAAGAGGGAAGCGAATTGCTCAAAGCCACCTAAAACTGCCCAGGACCAGCCAAGGCGGGTGGGGCTGCAGTATAACCCACTTCCCTCCAGCCAAGGGTAAAGAGCTTCATTTGTCTTTTCAGGCAGAAAACTGGCTCCAAGTCTTAGGCAAAATGCCTCACATGTTCTGTGAGTTTTATTTTTGCAACGAGGGAGGCAAAGGCCACCAGATTTTTTTTTTTTTTTTTTTTTTGAGGGGGTGTGATTCTCTCAAACGAGCATTTCTCAATTCTCCCCACCCCAGGGGCGAGGGACGAGGACAAGAGGAATCCAGCCGCTTCCTCACCTGTTGACAGGAAACGAGTCTCTTCCCTCCTTGCTCTGGCTACTGCACTTGGCACGGACGGGGAGTGGAAAAACACACCGCCTTTCAGTTCCGTCTCCGCGTTTTCTAAGGGGGCAGCTTGCGGGAAGTCTGGGCAGACGGCCTCTGAGTCCGCGTCTGTGAAATGGACTCGAGCGCTGACCCACGGGGCAGGCAAACACCACGTCCCCAACACAAGCCTTCTTTCCACCGGCCGCCGGGTTCTTTTACTCATTTCCAAGCAAGCACTTATAGAGCGCCTCCGGCATGCGGACACCTGTGTGCAGCGCTGGTGAGGCGGGCAGACTTGACGGCGAGGGATGGGGATGGAAACCGTGCGGCGCTTTCTGATTTGGGGCCCCAGTTGGGACCCGGATTGAGAAGTTGAAGTTGGGGTGACGGGTGCTCGGGCTGTAGAGCTCTTCTTACCTTGGGCGGGGCCTGGATCTGCGAGCTCGGAGCCTCGGTCTAGCCGGATGGCCAGCGCCACGACCTTCCGCCCCTAAGAGCCCCAGCCCGGGCCACACCCACACCAGCCCGTCCCGCCTACTTCCCCGTCGGGCCACGCCCCTGTCCTACTTTCCCCACCTAGGACACTCCCTATAAGGCTCGCCCGGCCCCAGTTCTTAAAGACACAGGCTCGCATTGGGTGAGCTGTCCCTGTCAGTCTTCCCCAGATCTCCACCTCACTTTCTGTACCCAGCCTGTCACTTCTGTTTTCCCGCAGAAGCTGGAGTGAAAGCACGTGGTTTATAGGTATCAGGAGGCCCGAGAGAAGTCTGAGAGGGAAGCTTAGAGATTCCGTTACTGAGGGTGGAATGGAAGGGTGAGGGCTGAGGTAATGAAAGGGAAAACAGGGCGTGGTGGTGTGTGCCTGTAGTCCTGGCACTCGGGACAGAGGCAGGAGGATGGAAAAAGTAAGGCCAGCCTAGCCGGCAAGGTGGTGCACACCTGTAATCCCAGCATGCAGGGAGGCAGCGGCAAGCAGGCAGATCTCTGTGAGTTCGAGGCCAGCCTGGACTACAAAATGAGTTTAAGACAGTCAAGGCTACACAGAAAAATGATGTGGTGGTGGTGATGATGGTAATGATGAAGATGATGACGAGGATAATGGTGATATGATGGTGATGTGTTTTTAAACAAAAAACCAAACATTCTATTTTACCAATAAAGACTCAGGAACCAGATGCTGGGTGAAAGCCTACTAGCTCAGATAGGTAGAGAAAGCACCCAGCTGACTTTCCTTGTCAACCAACTCCTGAGAAAGAAAGACCTTTTCCACGCTGACTTATAAAAACCGAAAATTAGTTGGGTGTGGTGGCACATACCTTTAATCCCAGCACTTGGGAGGCAGAGGCAAATGAATCTTTGTGAGTTCAAGGCCAGCCTGGGTTACAAAGTGAGTCCAGGGCACCAGGGCTACACAGAGAAACCCTTTCTTGAAAAACCAAAAATCAAAACAAAACAGGGGATGGAGAAATGGCTCAACAGGTAAGAGCACTGACTGTTCTTCCATTGGATTCAGATTCAATTCCCAGCACCCACATGGCAGCTCACAACATCTGTAACTCCAGTTCCAGGGGACCCGACACCCTCATATAGACATACAGGCAGTCAGACACCAAAATAAAATAAATTAATTAAACAAACAAAGCAAAACAAACAAACAAACAAAAAAAACCAAACTGAATGTCCCTCCTTTCTACTTCCTGTGCATCTCTTTATCCGTCCTCTGGACTTCCTGTCACTCTCTGTTTTTTTTTTTTCCTATATCCACTTCCTGTCAATTGGTTGCTTGCTCTGCCTCTTGACCTGTGGTTGACTATTTAATCCGCTTTACTGAAAGCTCTTGGATTAAAGGTGTGTGCTAGGGCTAAGCCACACCACAACCACATGTTTACAGTAATCAGAAACCCCTCGATCGAAGGTGTGCGCTAGGGCTGAGCCATACAACCACAAACAGCTTCTTCCAGTACACAGTCTCGGGATTCACAGTGTGATCAAATATCCTGCAACAGTGATGATGGCGATGATCCCAGAAGACTCCAGATGGAAAAGGTCTCCTGCTGCCTGCGAGCACTCTGGCTGCAGAGCCTGAAATGCCTGGATCCGAGGTTCCTCCTGAGGTCGCTCAGCATTACCCTCTACAGAACCCCTTCAGTGCTAGGCACCCACTAAGCCACTGAGCTGCACCCCAGCCTAGAAAACTACAGCAAACATCAAGACGGACAGCGGTATAGCCCGACTACCTCGCTGCTCAGGCTGGTGGGACAAGAACAAACAAAGCCTGTCTGGGTTCCAGTTCAGGGGCAGCCTCAGCATGTAGCAAAACCATTCATTTCCCAGGATTCTAAGTGAAAAGCGGGCCGCAGTGCAGTGCAAAATTCATTGGTACAGTTCTTGCCCAGTGTCCTCGAAGCCATAGGATCAGTCCCCAGAACCACAATTAATTAATTAATGAACACACCAGGGGCTGGCAAGATGGCTCAGTGGGGAGCGTGGGCACTTGATGCTAAACCCAACAACCTGAGTTTGATCCCTGGAATCTAATTTCCAGGAGTAGGATGGAGATCCTACACCTGGAAGTTGCCTTCTGAGCTCCCCATGGGCAACCGTCTGTGCAGGCATGTGTGTGTGTGTGTGTGTCTGTGTGTGCATGTGCGCGTGTGCGCAGGCACCCCCCACCTAAATAAACAAATGTAATGTATTGAGTAACTCTCTTGTAGTACAACATCTGGCATGTTAAAGTATACAGGTGGGAGAGAGGGGAATCTGCAGTCAGGATGAAAAATAAATAAAATTTAATAATTATAAAATAATAAACAGTTGAACAGGTGTAATTACTAGAATCCATGTTGCTGGTACCATTATTCTTATTTTTTTCTTGTTTTTTCTTTGTTTGTTTTTTTTAAGACAGGATCTCAGTATGTACTTCTGGCTGACCTGGAACCAGCTGTGTAGACCAAGCTGGTTGCAAACTCACAGAGATCTGCTTCCCTGGTGCTGGGATTGAAGGCGTGGCCACCAAGACCCAGCACCCTCACCCTCACCCTCACCTCAGCTCTTGAGTGTACTGGCCCTGTTTCACTGTGTCACGGTTCACAAAAGGCAGGGGTCACTATTAAATTCCTTCCCTCGAAGGGAAAGTTTCCCTACATGTATCGGTAAGCTAGCTGCATAACAGCCACCCAGCGTCACACGTGTAACACGCCAGCATCTTAATATGTGTCTGAGTGTCCGACAGTCATGATTTGGGGAGAGGCCCCGGGGAAAGGGTCTGGCTCAAGCCCTTTTGCTTGTATGTCCAGCCTGAGGCTGAGGCTGCTTAAACGGTTGCCTTTGTCTGTGTAGCCCCAGAGCTTCTCCGAGTGAGCCCTCTGCCAATTCCTGCCATGCCAGGGCAGATGCGTGTTCATGTGATACCTCAGGGACAGGAGAGCAAAGGGGAAGCTACATGACCTTCTGGGAATCTGTGGTGTGGAGCAGTGCCACCTCCCTCGTAGTCACTGGCCCAGCCATGTTCACGGAGGGGAAACAGCTCCTGACTCGCCAAGGGATGTGGGTGGCAGGGCATGTGACACCCAGGACTCTGATGTGACCGTATTCGGAAAGTGTCAGCTGCCACTGCATTTTGCCCCACAAGTGACCCCAGCAGGGGCTTTCGTGAGGAGGAGAAGGGACTATATTGTGCAGTAGGAAGTGGCAGGACCCCCACGTCCCACTGGGTGGATGACTGCCATTCGGACCCATCCTGTTTTCAGTCTCTATTTTGAGGCAAGGTCTCTCTATGTAGCCCAGCCTGCCGTGGACTCCTGATCCCCCGCCTCAACCTCCTGCTTGGATCACAGGCACGTGCTGGCATGCAGCTC